ATTTTGCATATTACTGACCTGCAATTTTCTTCTAGTTGTTTGCTGCAATTACTTGTTATATAATTTAATCTGTTCTAATGTCAAATACGGTAACTGTTGTAAAAATAGTGTTTAAGATATTTTGCATCAAGTTATAAATTGTAAATCCGGTATTTAGTGTGTAAATCCGGTATCCAAAAAATAAAATTGAAACAACTATCCTACAGCAAGGTCGCCACTTGATCGATGACCCCAATCCTGTAGGGACCTAGGCTACGACAGTATGTCACTACATCGATCATCAAATTTTGTGGACCTCAGGGATGACAATCCTGAGGATTTCAAAGAAGTGATCAACTCCTTTTTGATCTCCTGCGATGACGGATAATATCGACACACTGGTCTTCTAGAGACTATTCGGGCCATCCACTCCTTGCTCACAAAGGTAAGCTTAAGGTATGGGTTGTTCTTTGTTTAGATCAAACTTCTTACTTGAGCTAACAAAATTCTTTTTTCACAGCTCTTCAATGTGTCTCAAGGGGTGTGACTTAGGGTTTTCGACTAGGATGCTTGGGCTTTAGAGCTCGAGGTATCCTTGGCCACTACACTGAATGACTCCAAGAAGTGGATAGGAAGAGGGCCATCTTCGAGGAAGAGAGAGATTAGGCAACCGTTGACTTGGAGACTACTAGACGCCTAGGCCTAAGGTCGAGCAGCTTAAGTTGAGCTGAAGCAGGCAAACAAAGAGATTGAGGACTTGAAGCTCAAGAGGAATAATATCCAAGTCGAGGTGGTATGCCACGGACTTACATCGATATCACGGACCACCCGAGATAGTGATGCAATCGGGACTATGAGAACACGCGTGATAGAAGATCCACCACTCTCCAGGTCAGGCATGGAGATTATGGCATCATCAGTACCTATACTGAGCTATCGAGTAATAAAATTTATTTGTCACTTGCAAAAGACATCCGCCAATTTTATAATTTGGCTTTATGTAAATTTCATATTCAAAACTTTTTAT